ATATGGCTCTGAAGAAATTAAAAGACTCCAAGCTTAATGATACATCTGAACTAACCAAATAGAGGATGGCCTTTAAAGCCATGCTCACACAAACCGAATAAATGATGAAGAAAATTTGGGAAGAATTGTCACAATCTATCAAATAAGTATACGATTTGATTGAGAAGGAAATCTAATCATACTTAAACCTCATTAACGAAAATACTAATCTAGCTGAATCCTCTTACACAGACTTAGAAAAATTAGTAAACATTGTAGAAGGATCAACTTTAAATGATTGGAATGTTGAGAAGAATTTTTATATGAAGTAGTTAGATAAGACCAAGAGCTGGTGGGACCAACATATAAAGGCTTTTATTGAGAAGTCTAACTAAGGAATTCAATAGATCCAATCATTAATTAAGTAAGCATTATAAATCTTATCTCTAGGGAAGATGAAGAAGAAGTTTATTAAATGAAGGAAGATCTTTATGAGATGCTAACCTTCATTTAGGATATAGATGAATTTCTTTATTAGAAGATTCTTGAAAAACTTAGATAAGAGAAAGTTTCAGTGGGTATATCATACATCAATTAGTAGAGGGTACATATCATATACCATTTAATAGAGCATTCTAAGATAAATGGTAAAGACCTCAGTGTACCCCTTATTACCAAAAAATTGATCATACAAAAATCAACATACCTTACCTCATTTACTACAACTAGAAATCCAAAAATCTAATTACAATAGTAAGACATATTCCAATCTTAAAACAATTAGCTTAAAATTTAAAGATAAACTAGAATAATCAATGAATTATTCATAGAACTCAATTTTTGTATAAATTAAAATATTCATATAAAATAATTATATTCTATATTATTATAAAATCAAGTAATGCAGATATTGAAATGAATTCTCAATAGCATAATTAACATCTACTACAATCAATTCTAAATCTACAATAAGTCCTAACTTCTATTCTACAGAAATGCACAAGATACTTTTAGCGATTTTGGAGTATATAACTTCAAGTTAGAGTAATAGAAATTCAATATTAAAAATAATGAATTGCACTTATCATATCAAAAATCCAATATCTTTGATATGCATAGCTCCTCACCAATGCTAAAGGAAACTTTGTCTTGAATGCCAATACGAACATGAAGTGGATATAAAAAAACATACAGTCCCAATAAATAAATTTCAAGTACATCATTGGATTTCTGTCAAAGACAAACAATCATCAGTTTTATGAATCTTTAAACAACAAGTAAGAGAATGTAAAGGATGTCAAGAAGTAAGTAAAGATAATAACTAATGTCTTGAGGAATATTTAAGATCATAAATTTAGTAAGGATGACTATTCTCAAGAGGAATATGAAAAGGAAAGAGCTGATCTGATCAAGAGGATGAATAATAACAAAGGGATCATAGAGTTCATCAAATTTTTAGTACGACTAACAAGCATAGATGTAAAATTCATTCAATCGGGATCAAATGGACTTTGTTTATTAGTGGCCATGAAGGTTGATATTAGGAACCAATCATTTGAAAATATACGGATCAAGAATACTTCTTTGATTGGAGGTAATTTTGTAAGATGCAACTTGAGTGGATCAGAGTTTGAAAATGTAGATATTAGTGGATTGAATTTGAATGGTGCTTAACTATTCAATTGTAAATGGAAGAAGTTGAAAATCCATGAGTTGAATAAATTGGATGGTCATAATGAAAGTGTTAATACTGTATGCTTCTCTCCTGATGGCACAACAGTAGCAACTGGTAGTGGAAAGCGTTTTGGTTTTGGTTAAAGCATTGATAACTCTATCCGTTTATGGGATGTCAAAACAGGATAATAAAAAGCTAAATTAGATGGTCATAGTGGAACTGTCTACTCAGTCTGTTTCTCTCCTGATGGAAATATATTAGCTTCTGGTAGTGGTGATGAGTCTATCCGTCTATGGGATGTCAAAACAGGATAATAAAAAGCCAAATTAGATGGTCATAGTAATTGGGTAATGTCAGTCTGTTTCTCTCCTGATGGAAATACATTAGCTTCTGGTAGTGTAGGTAACTCTATCCATCTATGGGATGTCAAAACAGGATAATAAAAAGCCAAATTAGATGGTCAT